GCTAGGTATAAAAAGGCCGGGTTCCTACTTCTAGCTCTGATACCCAGTTTCTCTGTGATCTGGAAGCAGACAGCTTGCATCCTGTGGCTCTCAGTTTTGCATTAGATGAAATGGGTGAAGATGCTGGCATTATATTGAACCTCTCATGAAATCTCTGCTGCAACACTGGATAAATATTATCATCTCCATTTTTTTTTTGAGGGAGGGTAAGGAAAATTAAGTTCAGAGAGATTATGTTATTTTACTTAAGTACCACACAGCTTATACATGGCACTTAGGATTTGAACCTAGTTTTGCCTGATGCCAAAACCTATTCTCTTTGCAGTTCCCTTTATTAGATTTCTAAAGAGTAAAGTCTGAATTGACGTCTGGTCACTCTTGGAACAGGCCTAAACTTTATTATATGTAAGTTGGCCACAGTCACCACAAGGTTGGAGCTACTGAGAAATGCTGAGTCTGTATTCTTCCCATGCTTGAACGGCCAGGCATACTACTGGTCACTGGAGTCCTCAGCTGGCTCAAACTCATCCTTAAATAATTCAATTATAATGAATTGATTTATTCTGGCTCTGATAGTATTTCACTATGTAAACTGTTTGCTGAAATAAATAAGGGATTTTTGGAGGTTGGACAAGACTCAGCATTTTGCTGCCCCTGAATTCAATGACTCCTTTTTCAGATAGTCAGCATCATAGAAATCCAAGTCTTCTTTCTGCTTGTGACCTGGGCCCTTTTGATTTGGGGGGAATGCTGCTTGAAAGTGTTTCAAGTGAGTGCTGATTTCACAAGCTGATTCAGTTCAGCCACTTAGAAATAAAGTGACCCCTTAGAAGGAGAAGAGTGGTTTTCTCTTGACTAGTGTTTTAGAATGTGCAAAGTGAGTGTATATCCATTTCCTGTGAGAGTTCTATGGCTTTCCAGAGCTGAAACAATCATTTCTGTACTGCAGATGCATAGCCAGAGGCTGCAAAGTAAAACTAATTGTGCACAGTTACATAGTTAATATAAAGGACAGAAGTCAAACCCTGGCTTGAAATGAGGTCCTACTCCATTACCTGGAGTAAATAGGGGAAGAATATCTTAGATCAAGCAGTATCCTTAGGGATGCATATGTTTTCTGATTTACCTGGGATATTCAGATTTCCCAAGGATATGTGCCTAATACCTGGACATGGTTTTTGATAGCATATCTACCCCTCTCGAAGTGCATTAGTTTGGATGATAAATTACAAGCTCACCATAAGACCCTGAATGAGGACTAGATTTCAAAGGGCTCACAGTCTTTCAAAGACGCTGCAGCATGTGGACACAATGGCAGCAGGACAGTAAGGTAGGCACCTTATAAAGCAGATGGTAAGGTAGGCATCTTTATAAAACAGGAACCCAATCAGAAAGGGGAACCCACGCAAGAAGGGATATTCAGCTTTACCTAGAAGAGTTGGAGAAATAGCACAGAATAACAGACACTGAAGTTAGAAAAGACTGGCCTGGCGATCTCTTTTGGATGGCCACTGCAGGTTTCTCCTTGTATTGTTCTGTATTGAATTGCCAAGAAAGCAGTGTAGGTCCCACCTACTTAGAAGGCATCCTGCTAGCTCTGTGCTTCTGTGATCCTGGTCCTTGCCACTATGAGAGTCATTGGAGCCAGCCGCAGCATTGAATTGTCCTGACCAGAAATCCTTGTTGTGATTTGAATTACGTGAGTGCTTGAGAATTTGCTTGGCTTTTAACTGAAACTCTTCAGGTAACGAGCCCTTTAGAAGCTTAGAGAGCAGTAGACAGGGAAGGTTCCTGGAGGCCAGCAGTCTCATGGCCTTATCTACAGTGATGATTGAGCCCAGAGAGGGAAAGACATGTGTAAAGTAACAGAGCAGTATAGTTACAGTATAGTTACTGAGGCCAGCATCTGCTGTATATTCACTTTTATGTGAGACCGGAATTCTCTTTGGAATTAAATAAACCTCAGTTTATGACTGACGCTATATGGTGTCAGAGAACATATCCAGAACTTAGAAAATGAGCCTGAGTTTGAAACCAGGATCTGGCATAAACACAGTGTGTTACCTTGGGCAAATTATAAAAGATGTGTGGGATCTCAGATTCCTAATCTGGAAGACGAAAATAATAATTCCTTTCTCACAAGGCTGCTGTGGGGCTCACTTGGGGCAATGAATGTGGAAGTATTTGTGAACTTTGGTGGGTGTTTATATGTGTGTGTATACAGTAAAATATATATTACACAGGGTCTGTCCTCTTAACAAATTTGTAAGTGTACATACACCATATAAATATGAGCGCAAAGTTGTATGAAGATATCAAGAACTTAGTAATCTGGAAGCAGACAGCTTGCATCCTGTGGCTCTCAGTTTTGCATTAGATGAAATGGGTGAAGATGCTGGCATTATATTGAACCTCTCATGAAATCTCTGCTGCAACACTGGATAAATATTATCATCTCCATTTTTTTTTTTGAGGGAGGGTAAGGAAAATTAAGTTCAGAGAGATTATGTTATTTTACTTAAGTACCACACAGCTTATACATGGCACTTAGGATTTGAACCTAGTTTTGCCTGATGCCAAAACCTATTCTCTTTGCAGTTCCCTTTATTAGATTTCTAAAGAGTAAAGTCTGAATTGACGTCTGGTCACTCTTGGAACAGGCCTAAACTTTATTATATGTAAGTTGGCCACAGTCACCACAAGGTTGGAGCTACTGAGAAATGCTGAGTCTGTATTCTTCCCATGCTTGAACGGCCAGGCATACTACTGGTCACTGGAGTCCTCAGCTGGCTCAAACTCATCCTTAAATAATTCAATTATAATGAATTGATTTATTCTGGCTCTGATAGTATTTCACTATGTAAACTGTTTGCTGAAATAAATAAGGGATTTTTGGAGGTTGGACAAGACTCAGCATTTTGCTGCCCCTGAATTCAATGACTCCTTTTTCAGATAGTCAGCATCATAGAAATCCAAGTCTTCTTTCTGCTTGTGACCTGGGCCCTTTTGATTTGGGGGGAATGCTGCTTGAAAGTGTTTCAAGTGAGTGCTGATTTCACAAGCTGATTCAGTTCAGCCACTTAGAAATAAAGTGACCCCTTAGAAGGAGAAGAGTGGTTTTCTCTTGACTAGTGTTTTAGAATGTGCAAAGTGAGTGTATATCCATTTCCTGTGAGAGTTCTATGGCTTTCCAGAGCTGAAACAATCATTTCTGTACTGCAGATGCATAGCCAGAGGCTGCAAAGTAAAACTAATTGTGCACAGTTACATAGTTAATATAAAGGACAGAAGTCAAACCCTGGCTTGAAATGAGGTCCTACTCCATTACCTGGAGTAAATAGGGGAAGAATATCTTAGATCAAGCAGTATCCTTAGGGATGCATATGTTTTCTGATTTACCTGGGATATTCAGATTTCCCAAGGATATGTGCCTAATACCTGGACATGGTTTTTGATAGCATATCTACCCCTCTCGAAGTGCATTAGTTTGGATGATAAATTACAAGCTCACCATAAGACCCTGAATGAGGACTAGATTTCAAAGGGCTCACAGTCTTTCAAAGACGCTGCAGCATGTGGACACAATGGCAGCAGGACAGTAAGGTAGGCACCTTATAAAGCAGATGGTAAGGTAGGCATCTTTATAAAACAGGAACCCAATCAGAAAGGGGAACCCACGCAAGAAGGGATATTCAGCTTTACCTAGAAGAGTTGGAGAAATAGCACAGAATAACAGACACTGAAGTTAGAAAAGACTGGCCTGGCGATCTCTTTTGGATGGCCACTGCAGGTTTCTCCTTGTATTGTTCTGTATTGAATTGCCAAGAAAGCAGTGTAGGTCCCACCTACTTAGAAGGCATCCTGCTAGCTCTGTGCTTCTGTGATCCTGGTCCTTGCCACTATGAGAGTCATTGGAGCCAGCCGCAGCATTGAATTGTCCTGACCAGAAATCCTTGTTGTGATTTGAATTACGTGAGTGCTTGAGAATTTGCTTGGCTTTTAACTGAAACTCTTCAGGTAACGAGCCCTTTAGAAGCTTAGAGAGCAGTAGACAGGGAAGGTTCCTGGAGGCCAGCAGTCTCATGGCCTTATCTACAGTGATGATTGAGCCCAGAGAGGGAAAGACATGTGTAAAGTAACAGAGCAGTATAGTTACAGTATAGTTACTGAGGCCAGCATCTGCTGTATATTCACTTTTATGTGAGACCGGAATTCTCTTTGGAATTAAATAAACCTCAGTTTATGACTGACGCTATATGGTGTCAGAGAACATATCCAGAACTTAGAAAATGAGCCTGAGTTTGAAACCAGGATCTGGCATAAACACAGTGTGTTACCTTGGGCAAATTATAAAAGATGTGTGGGATCTCAGATTCCTAATCTGGAAGACGAAAATAATAATTCCTTTCTCACAAGGCTGCTGTGGGGCTCACTTGGGGCAATGAATGTGGAAGTATTTGTGAACTTTGGTGGGTGTTTATATGTGTGTGTATACAGTAAAATATATATTACACAGGGTCTGTCCTCTTAACAAATTTGTAAGTGTACATACACCATATAAATATGAGCGCAAAGTTGTATGAAGATATCAAGAACTTAGTGATCTTGTGTAGAAACTTTATATTCATTGAACAGTGACTTTCAACTCTCGACCATTTTCTTCCTCCCATAGCCCCTGGGAACCACCATTCTACTCTCTCTTTCTTTGAATTTTACTACTTTATAAGCCTCATGTAAGTAGAATCATACTGTATTTGGCCTTCTGTGTCTGGCTTATTTCACCTAGTATGCTATCCTCTAGGTTCATCCATGATGTCACTTATGGCAGGATTTCCTTCTTTCTTTAAGGGCGAATAATATTCCATTGTGGCCTGATGATGTATTTAACAGTGCTGATGGTTCTGCTGGTTTGATTTCACAGCTGCTGGTGATAGCTGAGACCAAAGAACAACTATCTATTGTTCTCTCTGAACAAATACCTATCTGTCCATCTCCTACAGATGAACCCAGCCGTTGCTATTTCCATGATGGCGATGGGGTATGTGAAGAATTTGAACAAAAAACTAGCATCAAGGACTGTGGAGTCTACACGCCACAGGGGTTCCTGGATCAGTGGGCATCCAATGCTTCTGTATCCCATCAGAACCAGCAGTGCCCAGGCTGGGTCATCATCGGCCAACCAGCCGCATCCCAGGTAAGCTCCAAGCCATGTGTGACATTGCCAGCAGATATTCTGAATCTCTGCCCTGCCCTTCAAGGCTCCCCACCTCAAAGGCATTGCATCATTGGATGTGGCCACATGACCACATCTCTAGTCAAATGTAATTCCAGGGGCTCATGAATACCATTTGTCAGGGATTAAATATGGAAGGGCTCTGTGGAGTTAACATCAGCACCTTAGGGATTTTGATTGTCCTCCTGTCCCCCTACCTGTTGAATGGGGAAAGAATTGCATTTGGATATACCATTGGAATTCAGTAGGTTAAAACTAAATTCTTACCGGAGGTTGGGGTGAGTCCCACTTTTTTTTTTGGTGGGAGAAGGTTACCAAGTTATGTGCTTCTTGAACTCTCTCCTGTGAGTTAACTAACTCTACCATGAATTTGCTGTGTGGCCTAGGACAAGTCTCCCCACCTCTCTGACCCCACTTTTCCCCATCTTTAAATTAGAGAGTAGTTGAACTTGATGATCTCCAAGGACCTTCTCAAGTCTAAAAAAGCGTGACTCATTCCTCAGTCCCCTAATGCACTGTTTACGTTCCCCAGTTTTTTCCCAGGGGACAGCCAGCTGAGTGGAGGGAGGGAGAGTGTTGGGGCCACCAGAGCTTGTGTGATTCTAGGGATGGCCTTGCTGTCCCCAGAGCCCCCTTTCCAATTATCCTGCTGAGCAAGCACCTGCCTTCTTCCGAGACTCCCATTTCCCAGAGACACGACTCAGTGCTTCCGACCGCCTGGCCCGGCGGCTGTCTCCCAGGCCAGCCTGCCTCCCAGCCTTGCAGATGAGCCATGATCCCTAGGTCTTCCTCTCTATTATTGTTTCCCTGATTCAGGGTGAGGGTTTGCTAGATGACAGAGATGTGACATTCTTCTCGGGCCCAGTGGAAATCACTGGATGAGGGACAGGATGGGTTCACCTCAATTAGAAGTTACAGTATTTATAGGATCACTTTTTCATTGATCTGTTTGTTTGTGTTTACATGTGTTAGATTCTTTATTTACTCATGTGCATTTGTTTCTGACTGCCCTAAGAATGGAAAGAAATCGTGTAGAGTGACCACCTGGGGAATGAATGACTGAATGGATGACACAGTGAATAAATGAATGAATGTCTAGGGTTCATTCTCCCTGCTTCCATCCTGCCACCTCTGTACTTGCTGAATTCATATTTGGTTACATCCATCACACTGACCTCTGATCATCTGTTTGCATGTCTTACCACCCATTAGACTACTTCTTTGAAAATACTTTTGAGTTTTATTCATCTTTGTCCTCTCATCTTCAAGCACAGGTCTAGATAAGACTAGTACTGAGGAAATGTGTGCTTAATTGACTATGCACACACACACACACACACACATACACACATTGCTACATGTAAATGAACAATACTAAGAAAAATGCTCAAGAATCATGTCTCTGTGACATAGAGTGTTCTGCTCAGGAACAGCAGGGCTGACTGGCAATAGAGCCAGGAATTCCAAATTCAACACTAGCATCCACTTCCTAGAAATGTTTAAAAACATCATTCAAACAACGGAATTATTAACACTCAGGATCTCACATGAGCAAGAGTTGAGGTAGCAGCTGTGCTTAAAAACCACCCAAAGGTTATTACTACTAATGTGAGAAAAGGAGAGAAAGAATTTTCCAGGCTTAGCATTTGAAAAGAGACTTCATGGGGCAATTATTCCAATCTTGTAAGGAGGGGGCTGTCAGGAATTATGGGTGATTATCTCTTCCTAAAGAAAAATCCAATTTAAAAAAATCATTATTAATACTAGCTCTTCGATCTACAAAGAGGAGATGAGAAAACAAAATCATCCTATTGAATTATTCATTGTAACCAATTTTATTTTAATGAAATCGACTAGGTTCCATTACTCTCCGGGCTTGGACATAATCTTTGTTACAAGGAGACTTCAGCTGTAACTAAATTTACCATAATGAGATCAGCTCACTGGAGAATACAGGGTCAGGGGAGGAGACGTGTGTGCAGGCTGGGTGCAGAGCCAGGCAGGGCAGCCTGGAGGGCAGCAGAACAAGCCTCCAGAACTCTCTGCCTGAAGGCGCAGGCCTGGAAGTCCCTCACACACTGCCCACGACCATACACACACACATGGATGCGCGTGCGTGCACTCACACACACACGAAGCTGGCATAATTCTGAGTAAAGCTGTTCTTGGGGTGTAAACATAGCTCCCTTCTAACAACAGAGAAAAGAAGGAAGTGCAGCCATGGCCTTCATTGCCTAGTGTAGTGATTAGAAGAGGCTGGTGGTTAATTTTCACCCTGTCAGAGCTTCCAGAGTAGAAACTAATGGCTTGAGAGAAGTTAAGAGTACTTAGATGCACCATGTGCCCCTTACCTACCCCCAATGCAATGATAGTCTTCTCTTCCTTATTCCTCCACTTTCTTCCTGCCTTTCTTACAGACACACACACACACACACACACACACACATTTGCATACACCAACAAAAATTCCTATAGGAACAGGCCGTGTAGGCACCTGCATTGAGAGAGCAAGTGCCAGAGCAGAGAGAGGAGAGTGGGGGAGGGAAGATAGTTATGGACGCCCACCAGCCACTGTACTGGATGCTCGTACATGCTGTAGCCAGTCCCCTGGCCATTCTTCAAGGTAAGAATTATTATCTGTCTTGGGAAACTGAGAGGTAGAATGGCTTCCCCAAAGTCACACAACCCATAAGTGGAGAATCTAGGATTAGGAAGATCTCCAGGTACATGACAGTGAGATCTTGGGAATATGCAGTCATTTTCAGAGTTGGAAGTAGCTGGGCACATGGAAAACATCACTAGGACACAAGCAGAAAGAATTGTAGCTGCGCAGATCTTAGGGTGGGTGCTGCTGCAGACACGAGAGGTACGGCCATCTTCCAGCCCACGCTCGGGCCCGGCCTGCACCTTTGTGCAGCAGGCTGCTCCCACTCCCCATCGAGGTAGCCCTGTTCCGTGGCCCCCTGTTCATTCTCTAGGAAACTCCGTTAACCTGAGGAAGGATGGAGGGACCGCAGTTGTTCCCATTTCCTCTTCACAATCCAGTTTTGCCGCACTCTCCACCCTTCCATGATGCTGTAAAAATGACAAACGCAGGTGTTTATTGGAGTTCGTGGCCTTGCTCTGTTCTGGGACCCATGGAAGGAACCACAGGGGTGCAGTCCAGCCTCTGGCCTAGTCAGTGTATAAGACTTACGTGCGAGAAATGAATCAGGAGGAGCAGCCCAGGCAGAACAAGGCGGCAGGTTCTCACCATTTTTCATGCTGAAAAGCAGCAGTATTCATCGTGCTGAGTCCAGAAAATTGTTGAAAACTTCAGCTTTGATTTTGTAAAAAAGGCCCCCACGTCTAATAATTCCCAGTTTCTCTCTTCCGTGCTCCTCAAACAAGATTCCCAAATTTGGTTCAGGCTAAGCTGCTCCACCCCAAACACTGCATTTTATATCCAAGCGTTATCAAAAATATCACAACTTCCTGGTGTGCAAATTGGGCTGAACATCCTATAATAAGAGACATTCTTGGAATATTTTGGCCATGTACCTTCCTGGCCCAGCTGGAATTCAAGAAGTCCCTGAGACAGAACAAAAATGGAAATGAACCGAAAGAATCAAGTTATCTCTCTTCTGGGCCCATCAGAAATGGTTTGGTTTAAGTTCTTGCAAAGATCTCATCTTGTTCTTATTTTATCTCCATATTTTGCATTTCTCTAGTGCTTCACGCCAAAGGCTGCCAAAAGGAGATGTAGATATTTTTGCATCCTGCCCAACCCCCAGCATTTCTACCAAAGCCCAGTTCCTCCTGTCCAAACAGGCACCTCCCTCCCCTGCAGTGGCCTAAGGAGGAAATGGAAACACTAAGACTATCTGGAATGTTCAGTGCTCTCCCAGGGATTACAGGCCTTCAGTCAACCAACCAATTTATTTGGTTGATCCTTTGAGGGTAAAACTTAGACTAAGCATTTCCAGGGCAGTTAATTTCAAGGCCAAAGTAAAGAAAACCTTTCTAAGAACGAGAACTATGCACAGTGGGATGGAGTGCCTTGCGATAGAGTAAGGTCCTGCCATAAAGCATTGGAGCTGAGCTGGCGATGGAACAGAGGTTCTTGTATTAGAAAGCGGGCAAGACCCTAGACATAGCTCCTTCCTTTGCAGTTGGTTCTCTGACTTTATAGTCCACCCACCCATTATCAGGTATGCCCATCCTTTGCCATGTCACTTTGAATCACTGTCACCTATTCCTTGGCATGTCCATAACACTTGAGCTCTATTAAAATACAGATCATAATGTATCTTGTGTCACAGGAATTTATGCATTAATTCATTTATCCCTGTGATCAAGCACTAAGAGAGGCACAAGATGAGTGCATTCCTTGATGGCCACCAGGTCTGAGCCAGGAGAGCCGGGTCTTCTTCATCCATGCCTTCAGAGGAAGGGAGTGGATGCCCACTGGGTTCTCTGGGTGGAAGGGCAAGAAATCTTTCCCCAAGCAGTTACAGTGCAATGTGGGAAGTGCAGGGACCGGGAGCCTAGAGGGGCTGGGGATGCCCCCTGGACAGTGGCTGCTGTTTAGAAATATAAACTGGAGGAAAGAACAGGGGTGTGGATGGGAGAGCATGTCAGAGAAAGAGAGAGATGTGGAGGAAGGAAAAGACAGACAGATATCCATAAAAAAGGGTATTGAGAAATAAGGGGGAAGTCAAGAGAGATGAGCTCTGAAGGTGCGTGGGAACATCCCTCAGGTGCTTGAAATGCAGGCTTTATCCTGAGTGTTTTTCAGATGTTTTAAAAGCAGAACTAACAGGCTCAGGTATTCATTTGAAGAAAAGAATTACCTCCTGCCTGCCAGACCCTGTACTAGGGCTTTGAAACACATTATAAACCTGAGAAGTCTTACTTCTGTCTCAAAGTGAAGGTGCCAGGTCTCGGGGCCACGAACCACCTCACCTATGGCACTCTCATGT